ATCATGTGGTGTACAATCAACTAAGTCATATTCAACACTAGTACTACAATCCACTAGAATCATAAAGTTTTCTCGACTCAAGTTTCATCTACCAAATTAATCATAAATTGATAGATGAAGACGTTAGTTACTACGTATTAGGAGATCATCATAAAAAATAAAACTTTCTATGTTCTTTTACCACAGTTTCGTCTTAAAAGGACATTTTCAAACGAAAACTGAAAATAATTGATGTTAGCCCTTATATATCTAAACAGCATTGTAGGTAATAACAGAAGGTAGTTGAAGGTACCTGAATTTTGTTCACCTGTGACAATGTGGGAACACTAATTTGAAAACCGGTGAGTAAACTAGATCGTATCAGCCTCTCGAAAACCAGGCCACCAAATTAATGAAATACACCATGAAACATTGTTAACCACCTTCAAATAAAAATATATCGATTTGATCATTTAGTAGGTTACATTTGCAATGCTTATGAATTTCCAAAGATTCCAAATAATTGAGTTTCCAACCCTTGCTTGCATAGTGCAAAATTTCCATATCGTTTAGATTCTATCCACATGATTGGTAAAATTCACTTCAAGGAGGGTGTTGTTCTGGTATGTGGAGAAAGTATCAGTGTCAGATTAATTCTGTCAGAGGTTGCAGTACTAGCTTTCAACTAAAAAGACAGTTGCAAGGATATGATGGGTGGATTGATCAGTTAAGCATTCAAGTATATTTTTGAAAGATTTGTTTGTACTGAAAAATACAGTGTTTCAGCGTTTTTTTCCTAAAGTACTGGTTAAAAAGATATTAATTTTATTCCGGACTTTTGCGCACCCCTGTATAACAGGCTGGTTTCAGTCAAGACAAGCTCAGTTGGTGTTGACTCGGCTTGTTTTGACTCAGTTTGTTAATTAATATTATTAAGCTTAGTCATTTTTATTGTCAGACAGCTAATCATTTGTCACTATGAAAGTACCTACTTTAGTTATTTAAGTAATGCTTCATAGTAAGATTTTCAATTAACAGGTTCACAGGTTCATACTGTAGGAAAAAGCTCAAGAAAGTGGTGTATTGTGAAACACGTGTTGCGATTTTGTGTTCATGATAAATGAGAAATAAATATTTCTATGATTTTTTACCGCTTGAAGGTACTCAACAGGTAAACATAACTCAGGTACTCAACTTAATTGAGTGCCTGAGTTTTGTTTACCTGTGACAATGCACGGGTACGCTAATTTGAAAACCGATGAGAAAATTAGATCGACTTTATCATTTTGCAGGTTATATCCGCAATGCTTATGAATTTCCAAGGATTCCCAAATAATTGAGTTTCCAACCATTGCTTGCATAGTGCAAAATTTCCGTATCATTTAGATTCAGGAACTAGTCATTGCATTTTAAGATGAAATGGTTTGAAAACGTTCTTTCATGTTCAGCGTACTGTCTTGAGGAATTTCGGCCACATTGTCCCACATAAAAACACTATTACACTCCGGACACTTAAGCATATAAAATCCAGATTTTTCCATCTTGTCTACTACATCTTTGAATTTCTTAGAATTCCAAATAATTGAGTTTCCAACACTTGCTTGTATAGTGCAGAATCGTTATGACTGCCATCATCCGAAGACGATTGTGGATACTAACAATCGAAACGTCGTGAAGTAAGCTGGCTTGAAATGTTTTAATTTGTAATAATTTTTAATTGTTCAATTTTCAATTGTTGCTTGTATTTTAATTCATTCTAATTTCTTTTAGGGTTTTTTGCTTAATATAATTATTATTTTCAGGGATTTCAAATCTTTTTATATCATAATAGGCAATGAAAACTCGCGTGATAAAGATTTAAGCCACATATTTACATTTCAAATAGTTTACCAAATTCGTATTATATTCAATTGTCTTTTCCACAATTCTACGTATAGAAACGTTGCAGGTTCATTAAACTCACCTCGACCTAATTATGTATTACTGCAACCTTTTCAGTACATTGAACTGTTTGCAGTTCAAATATATAACAATTAGATAATAAGTGATGAGCAACCAATTCTGTATAACCCCGATTCTGATGAATCATTAGTGTGCATATACTCTTCGATGTAAGATGTTAACTTTGATACGAATAAAAACGAAACTCTNACTAGAGTCTGTATAGGAAATATCACAATGAAGTGTTACTTGAATAAGTTACAAATGTTTATCAAGTACCGGCCAATTCCATCAGATAATTCTTATTTGTTTTTCATTAACCTTCCACATTTTGAAAAAAATAGGAACTAAACAACGATATCCTCCACAAAAAATGTATTTTCTTCAATTTTTATTTGTTTATGCTCGTTCAATATTTTTGTAAATAATATAATAGTTTTATTTACTTCTATTCAGTACAGTTCAAATGAGTACTATAATTTATACAAGCATATAGTTTGAAGTACTCATAAGCATACATTCAGAATCAAATCCCCCCCTTGAAAATTGTGGAATATATCTCAAAAAAGTTTTCTTCTGGAATTACAGGCTTGTAATATTTATCGTTTCACATTAATTTTATTTCATATCTCATTTGTTTGTAAATCAACTCAAGTATTTCACCATCCATCTTAATCCCCTGGTCAAATTCTATCACATATAACTTAGATGACGAATTTCATGACAAACTGAAGAGTCATACTTTTTTCAGCACTTTATCGGTAACTGAAAACACTATTTCTAACGAGACTTTCAGACACCTCAGCAAATTTGAGTGCTTTATAAAGCTCAAATTAACCATTCTTTTCAATATAAAAAATATATAAGAGTAATGAATATTACTGGAGTTTTTTCCCAACACCAAACCGTTATTTTACCACCTCGACACGTGTTTCGATCACCAAGTGATAATCTTCAAGAGGAAGATCAAACTAATCATACTTACAAAGCTATATAGTTACCTATTCTAGGTTTTGAATGTCTTTAATTAATTTTACAATTTGCCTTATCTACTTGTCCTAAATTAATTTTACAATGTGACCTTATGTAATAATCAAAGGTTCACAGGTTCATACTGTAGGAAAAAGCTCAAGAAAGTGGTGTATTGTGAAACACGTGTTGCGATTTTGTGTTCATGATAAATGAGAAATAAACTGAGATATATTTATCTTGGTTTTTGTCCTTTCTAAAAATCGAGATTTCGTTTATTCTTAACCTAAACTTCTTGCTTATTATGTAATCTACAATAACCCTCGAGAAACCGTTAGTGGCAGCTATTTCATGAATTGTACGTTTTTTCTTTGTGAACCTCTCATGTGTCAGAGGAAGAGTCAAAAGACGATGCACTAGAAAAGTCTAGTGCATCTTCTTGTCATCTACAATACCCCTCGAGAAACTGTTAGTGGCTGCTATTTCCTGTATTGTATGTTTTTCTTTTGTGAACCTCTCATGTGTCAGAGGAAAAGTCAAAATACGAAGCACTAGATAATTCTAGTGCATCTTCTTTTGACGTTTCAATTGATGTGCTAGTGTACTAGCAAATTTTATTGCATCTTCTTTTGACTTTCCACTAGATGCACTAGTGTACTAGAAAAGTCTAGTGCATCGTCTTTTAACTTTTCCTCTGACACATGAGAGGTTCACAAAAGAAAAGCGTACATTACAGGAAATAACAGCCACTAACTTTCGTTAATTCATTTTATTTTCAATGCGTTGCTAGCATTACATAATGTATATTGAGTTGCGGTGTAAGTTAGAGAGCACCTAATTTTTGACTTCGGTACCTAAAAAGCTACCTGTTTTACTTCTAATTTGTTATTCATTTCCTCTATGTTAGTGATTATCTCTAATATTTATCGTTTTTTTATTTAGAATTATTACATATAAGACCAAACAAATGAGTGTTCGAAATAGAACCTGTGTCGCTATTCATACAAATCATTCCGCACTTTTTGATTTCTAAGCTTTCAAAGGCATCCAGAAACCTTTTGTCATGTACCGGTCTCAACATTTTAAACATTTCTCAATTATTCTATGGTCGTTCTCTATGGCATGTTGAGCGACACTAGAATTCTCCCATCTATGAAACCAAATATGCGAAACATGTTCTTTGTAGGGATTGACCAACATGTTTCTCATCACAATTCTTGCAGCTTATTTCGTAAATCCCACACTTTTCTTTTTCCAATGTCTTGTCTTTCGGACAATGTCTTTGTCTTGTAGTGTATGTGCAGTTTTGAAAGCCACTCTTATATTCAATTTTTTCAATGTTCGGACCAACCCATTTGTGTATTTATGTTCATATGGAAGCACTATGAATTTTGAATCTCTCTTTTCGAATATTCGAGGCTTTACAAAGATACTCCCTAAATTTTTGTTTTCTAATTAATTTATCCCGTATGTTTGATGGATATCCACTACTGTCTGCCACCTCCCTAACAACTTTTTTCTCAATCTCGTACATTTCTTTGCTCAAGGGAAATGTGAGCAGTCTATGGAAAAGAGATTGTAGTCCCCCATTTTTTGTTGTGGGCAACGATGAGAGCTGTCAGGTATATATGTGAAAGAGCTTATATTCTTTCTATATACATTGAACTCTAGACTTAATAACTAGTACATCCGAGAATGGTAGTTCTACTCCCATTTGTATTGATAAATTGCAAATACATCATCCACGTATCGGATCCAGGTTTGTAGAAAGTAATCCAACTCTTTCCTTGCTTCCATTTCAAATCTGCTCATGAACAGATTAGCCATGAAAGGAGACAACAGGTTTCCCATTGCCATAACCTCATGATGCCCCTAAAAACAGTTAGCTAAATGTAAGCAATTTTGTTCCATGCAAATTTTGGTAAGCCAGATGTACTCTTTGACTACTTCACCACTTATTTGTTGGGAACGTGTTTTCAATAGATTCATTTTACACCAGAGGTTCCAGTACTTGTTCATGTTCGTAAAAAAAGTAGTGAGTGAAAGAAAAATATGCATCTTCAATTGATTCTATTTCAATTGTGTAAGCAAACCATTTAAAAGAGCTCAATCCAAATTTATATTACTTTCGACAGAAAAGAAGATAAAGGAAAAACTAGCACTGCTTCAACTTTACGAAGAAAAACAGAAACGTATGGAAGAAAATGAAAAAGCCTTCATGGACTGGTTGGAACACTCAAAAAACAGACCTAAACCTGTTCCCCTGAATCAAGGACTAAAAAGTAATAACTTATACAAATACTTAAAAATTAGGACATTTAAAGAATCCTTCGATTTTTTCAGGTTTGTGTTCATCTATGTCAATCACATATATAAATCCTGTTCCTTGGGTTCCAAATTTGGAAGAATCACATAAACCAGCATCTCAATAAAAACCCATGCAATTTTCTGTTACTTATCCTAGATAGTAAAGAAAACACCATTAAATGGGATAATAAAACAATGCTTGCATTTTATTGTCAATAATATGCATTGACTAATACCTAAACTTAAAGTTGTATATAGGGTTATTCCATGAGAAAATATTTTATAAAAATTACACATTCATACCGAAATTGGAAATTCTAATAACTTGTCACTAATTAAATTTTCATTTTAACATTTATTTGTTGATTATTTCTAATACAAAGATTCAGTTGCATTGGATGTTCTAGGTTTTTTGATTTTGTCAAGGTTCTTCAGTACAATGTCATGTAGAGCGCAATATCTATTGCGGATCTCAGACATAACCAACCATAAGCTTAGGTACTCCTTCTCATCAAGTTCCTGAACGGCTCTCCTGTAGTCGTCTATATGGGGATATTTTGCCACTTTAGAAATCAGTTTTCCTACAAAAGAAAAGTAATGATATTTGAAAAAACTATAGGTAATGATTTCATTAAGTTTTATGCACAATAATTCTATTAATCATATGTGATCGCAGCCAAAGATAGTAAAATGAGTCGAGCGAATTAAGACGCCATTGCACAAAAAAAATGTGTCTAAATTATTATGAATGAATTGGCCATCTTAATCGAAAAATGTGAACTCTCTTGGCCGGAGATAACTGTATGAAGGCTATTTTCCGGGTTTTCTGGCCGTGGTCTGCAGGTTTTTATGACGTTTGGTCTACTGCTGCGGTAAACATTTTCAAATGCGATATGGTAACGGTCTCAATACCCGAGCTGGTGCTCCGGTTCTGGTTCCTATTGTATCCAACGCATTAACTACTATTTACGTACTGGGCGCTCTATTTATATCGTTCTTAATTGTATTACCTTACTAGGCGCTCTATTTATATCGTTCTTAATTGTATTACCGGTTCGTGTTTGTGTACCTCTAAGGACAGGTAGCCAGCTTTTATTAATATTCGTTGTCCATTCTTTTCTATTGAAATTATCCCTATTGCCTCTCTATATATTCTTGGGTAGTAATTTTGGGTACTGTCAAGTATTTTTGTGTCTTCGAATGAGATAATGTGGGTACCTTCTGCAGACCACGGCTAGAAAATAGAAAACCCGGAAAATAGCC